TTGTGCCAATAAAAAAGGATATTTTTTGTTTTTTTCCTTTTTTGGTTTGTATCACCGGCGCAAATAAGTAAATCGGTATAAGGATGTTAAAAAACTTGAAACATTGTTAATCGTGATCGGCAAAAACGATGCATTGTCATTCCAGAAAGGATACAAGCATCCAAAAATTTTGCGACCTATAACTTATATCCGATTACTTATAGTAATTAATTATCGTAAGCCCATCTTTTATCAATTCTGATGATGTCATGTATCATAGATATCGATTTTTTACATTGCCCTGCCAAAATATTGCTAGATGAATCGAATTTGTTTAATCTCCTGTTTTAATTCCCTTGTTACGTATTCATTTTTCTTTTTGTTTATTTCTTATTTGGGATTTGATTCAGCCCAATTTGGCTTTTCTTATTTTTACCAATAGCGATAGTTATAACTTCAGGGTATAAGCGGTATAAGTATGTTTTGTCATGTACCTTTTGTATTGTCATTCTTTTTCCAATCGATAAACTACAAAATAAATATGTATTTCTTACAGCGAAAGTTATTCCAAAGAAATGTCACTTCCAAAGGAATTTAGTGAAGAGACAAAAAATCTTCTTACAGTATGGCGTGATATCATTCTTGAAAAACATAAAGATGATGATGATGAAATTTTTTGTAGTGATCCATTATTGATTATTGAATACCATCAACCGGGTCTTGTCAGCAGAAGTATCACAGAAAATCATGTTGCCCAAGGTATATTTATTAGTGTTATATAATCTTGTTTAGAGTTTTTATTTTAATTTTTTTTTGATTAGTTATTAGAGGCACTCCCGGCTATACTCCTAACCCGTTTCCCAATGTCACACATCCTCCGCAATCGGATTCAGTCTTCGCATTCAATAGAATGCAAACATTGGATGATGCTGTTGCACGATTATTTAGAAGTTATAGTAACCTTGTGTCGGGACGACCAGACCCTGTTGTTGGGCGAGTATACGTAGTGGAGTTTCGCAGGGCTAACACATTCGAAGTTTCTGAACGGACCAGTGTTTTTGACTGATGTATCATTAACCTCAAGATTTTATGGACTGGTTAACAATATGATATAATAAAGAAGGGGCGTGCAATTAGTAGACTTATTAAAGTTTTATTCGCTATACTTCGTCAGGTGATCTTGACCATTTTTGTATTTTATCCAATAATTATAAAATGGTAATTTCCGTGCTTTGATTTTTAATCGTGTACGTACGTACGTACGTATCTGTGATGTGAAGCAAATATTAATTACTGAAATCGCATGATAAAAAACATGAAATTTAGTATTCGTATAATATTATTTAAATCTATTAAGTGTATACAGTATAATTATATCAGGCTAAACTGATTCGAAGACGGAGAGCCCACAGAACCTCTCTTTATTTTATAATAATTGTTGCCGGAACAACAATATACAAATAAAATTGCTGT